GGAACACGAGAAATCAATCCAGCAGCTGCTAGACGATGCAAAGAAGATTAACATAAGACTGGGGTCAATGAAGAAACAGGAGAGAGTACAGATCACATAAAAAAACTCTTCGCAGAAGTAATGGCAGAAAACTTCCCAAGGAGGGGAAAAGAACTTGACATACAGATAAGTGAGGCATATAGGGCTCCAGCTAGCCTTGATCAAAAAAAATCTACACATAGGCATATAATAGTTAAGATTCCAGAAATCCAACAGAAGAACAAAATTCTACAAGCAGTGAGAGAAAAGAAACAAATCAGGACCTTATGCTTGTGAGGCAGGTGGCGGCACCACTGAGCTAAATCCCTGGCCGGGCTTCTAATGTCATTCTTGTTTTTTGGGTTATTTTTGTACTCGGGATCAAACTCAGGACCTTGTGATTTCGAGGCAGGTGTTGGAACCACTGAGCTAAATCCTGGGCCCCCTCTGTCATTCTTAAAAGCTGTTTGCTGCGTACATAACTGGACAAGACCCTGTGTGTAGAACCTCCTGGGTCATGAAGAATAGGACGATCTCCAGAAATCTATTTAACATTGACAACTTAGGGGAAAAACCTCTGTGATAGCTCCTGTATTATTCAGATCACTCAAGAAAAGTTGTCAACAGTGAAAGTTAAAATAAGTATTTTATTGAGAACTTGCTTTGTTAGTGAGAAAGTAACAGATACAAATATTTTCATTTAATAAAATTAGCACATCCTTAATCCTAAAAATATATCTTAAAACCCTTTATTATCTGAAACTGCAGATCATTCTAATTCAGGATTTTCTTTTTGTGTCTCCTATGGGAAAAAATGTAACAGATTCCATTCATGCAAATAACAGAACATATGTAGTAAGACCTGTTATAAGTCAAAAAATTCCCCACTTGAGTTTGTGTTGCCTGCATGCATGTGAATTACATGTCTTTACTGTAACTATAAAAGTTGCCTGGTATGGCAATGAGGCTTTATGTTTACTCCTGAGCATTTAGAATCAAAATGTGGTCATAATTTTAAAAGTTCTGCAGCAAGACAGTTCTGTTTAAAAACATCCCCATTCCCTAAGCATAACTTAAAATAGTTAATATTTTAGTAGTGTAGTTAGTATTTTAGTAGTGTTTAATAGTATACTAAAGTATAATTTACTTGTTAAATACATAAGGCTTCCATGCAGGTTTTTAAAAAATTATATATTTGTTGCATTAAAATGGCAATGGCACTAACCCTATAAATAATTTTCTAAATGGTTTTATATATTAAACACTAAAAAATGAGATAAAAAAAATCTGAACATGTTTTAAGTTAAACCAGCCTTGACACCTAATAGTTAAGTAGATGTTCAAATGTCATATAAGTAAGTCTCTAGTTTTCTGGAGATAAAGCTTATCTGAGGATGCTGTGGTCTGAATGCTTGTGTTCCTTCCCCAGTTCATGTGTAGCAGCCTAACCCTTAATGTGACAGGACTGGGAGGCCATGAGGATGAGATTAGTGCCCTGCAAGGGGCTGAAGAGACAAGAGCTCTTCCCCTCCACCATATGAGGACTTGGCAAGAAGCTTCCATCAGTGAACCAGGGGTCAGACCCTCACCACATGCTGAATCTGCTGATCCTTTATTTATTTCTTGGTACTGGGACTCGAACTCAGGATCTTGCGCTTCCCAGGCAAGCACTGTGCCACTGAGCTACATCCCTGGCCCATCTGCTGATACTTTAACATGGACTACCCCACCTGCAGACCTGTAAGAAATAAGATTCTGTTGTTGATAAGCTATCCAGTGTATGGTGTTTTGTTATAGCAGCCTTAGTATCAAGAGCAAACCTTAGTATTTTTAAATCTTACCAACTTTTATACATGGACACTTAAAAAACATTAAATTCAAAAGGCAGTGGTAGGAAAATTTTTAAATCTTAGCTTGAACTACATATATAGTCTTTCATTTTCACTTGCAGGCAATAAAGTAGTACAGTTACCCTCCTGTACTTACAATGCTTTGTGAAAATTTCAAAAATCACCCATCACATGGCAATAATTTTATAGCATTTAAATGAATATGCTCAAGTTATTTGTAGTACAAAAGTTAAAAGATCAGATTATACTTCTGTTGAAGGATTATGAAGATAATACTTAAGAAGGTTCTTATTCCCTTTTTAATGGTACAGATTAGTACTTTGGATACAAGAGCAAAAAAAGAGAAAAGAAAAAAGATAAACCTTTTTTAAAAAAGCATTAAGGGATGGGGATTTAGCTCAGTGGTGTCACTGCCTGCATTGCAAACGCAAGGTCCTGAGTTTGATCCCCAGTACCGAAAAAAAAAAAAGCATTGATTCTACTCTTAAATTAGTATTTGTCAAAGAAATGGAAAAAAATAAAAATAAGAACCTTTTATTAGAATCATTAAAATTCATTTTTAGGAAGTGCTATCAATAAATGCAAAGTTAAAAAAAATAAATGCAAAGTTGTCAAAAGCTAAGGTCCATTTCACCAGCAGTACACTGCTAAATTTGGCAGTTTAAAGCAATAGTCAATTGAATGTTGATTTTGAAATTACAGCAAACAGTTGCAGGAAGAAATTGTTTTAAAATGTTCGCATATTAGTATTATTTATAGTCATTACATTTATATTTTGGTTTGATTTCCTCTTTTTCTGATGGGTTTTTGTTTTTTTGAGACAGGGTCTTGCTATGTAGTTCAGGCTGGCCTTGAGCTCACTATGTAGCCCAGGCTGGCCTTAAATTCAAAGCGATCCTCCTGTCTCAGCCTCCTGAGTGCTGGGATCACAAGCGTGCACCACCATGCCTGGCTTTTTCTGATGTGTTTTACACTCACATAGAGTCGCAGAACGTTAGCATGGGGGTAGGGATGCATGTTGTCAGACTGTACAGAAGAGAAAACGGAGGCAGAGAGGTTGTAAGTTGCCCAAAGTCAAACAACTAAAAAGTAATTGATCTGGGGCTAGAATATGATTCCATACAGGGCTCTCTCCTTCATATTTAGGTCTTAGGGGACAGTGAGGATGGTGATGAATGCTCAATTTCTTTATAGCTTTCCTGATTGGGGTCACTTGCATTAATAGCTGGAGGAGACTGGTCAGGACTCTTTTGAAGAAACCTGTAAAACAAGTACTCATCCCGAAATTCGTATTCATTGGTGATATGCTGGATGACTCCTCCTTGCACCAGTCTGTCTCCATATAGCACAGCTTCACCACGGTCCGAGGCAAGGCCGACTTCGATTAGCCAGTTCACCAGGTCACAGCCACAGAAGGTCCCAGCAGAAGTCTTTGCACCACACCTGAATGTCAAAGGAATGATTCACCCAAATGTTCTGTAAATCTGGTATCAGTACTGCATGATAGAGGACAACCAAGGAAAAGTAGAAGGAAACAAGGAAAGACAGCATGGAGGTTAAACACATGGCAGGAATGGAACTGTTGTGAATATTAAGGAGGTGTTAACTTTCCTGATGCTAGAAAGACCCACTAGAGAGAAATAAAATATGCCAATAATGCTTGTGAAAACAAATGCTTAAACATGAAAACAAATGACACGATAATGTAAAGTCATCATCAAAGAAATATTTTTTATAGTAGCATGACCTCTTATCTTTTATGATCAAGTCTATCTTGTAGACAGCTGAATATTATATATTTTCTAATTTATATCCTTAGTTATACTGAATTATTTAATTATCTCAGAAACATTAAGTATCTTTTGCAAGCTCTTAAGTGATTATTTTGACCAAGCTACTCAAATCAATTTTTATTTTCAGTTTCTAGTGCCCACAAATAGCTCTTCATACTGTTCTCAGAAGCCAAGACAATCATGCTGATATGCATATTAGGAATTTGCTTCATTAGGAAGCAAGGGAAGAATAAGTAAGATCTGTCTTGCTACAAATCAAAGATTTTTAAAATATACTTTATGAATCTACTTCTTATTTAAAATTTATCTTCCTCCAAAAATGTATAATAGAGCCAGGGATTTAGCTCAGTGGTTCCGCCGCCTGCCTTGCAAGCACAAGGTCCTGAGTTTGATCCCCAGCACCAAAAAAAAAAAAGTATAATAGATAATATGAAATAGAAAGAAACTGTTCAAAAGGAAAGGGAAACTGAAGGGGGGAGGATGAAAAGGAAAGGAAAAAAATCAGAAAAAGAAAAAAATGGAAACAAAGCTTTTGTAAATAAGTGGGGAGGAGGGTTGGAGGGAAGGGAGGGGATTGGGAGAAAAGAGGAATCAAGATATATCATGTACAGGTACAAGTTTCCTTTGATGAATGTGATCGTTACATATATTTAAACTGTGGCAATAAAATTAATTTTAAAAATAAAATTTGTCTTCCTCATGCAAATGTAGGGTGTCTTAAGTATGATAAGGGAAGGAGAAATGTACAGGAAACCCTTAGTTACAGGAAATATGTCCAAATATGCAAGACAGTATCTGTCCAAAAGCATCAGTCAAGCTGTGAAATCTAAAGTGCTTGACAATAGAAAATAGTGGATGCAGATTGAGATGGAAAAAAATAGGTGACAAAAATTTTAAAATGTTTTCACATAAGTAAAATATACATTTGCATTTCATGTAAGAACAAAGGTTAATAGAACAAAGGTTAATAAAGCATTTTCTCAATATGTAAAATCACAATATTTTAAACATCAGTATTTTAATTAGTGATAAGATCTCTTAACTTAGGCTTTGCAATTGCAAACATCACTTTCAATAAAAACCTGAATATTGCAAGCTGTGTCTGGGTCGTATTCCTGCTTATTGACTTTTGATTTACAGCCTAATGCTTTCTGTCTTCAACACCAACTGAATAACATTTGTTTCTGGCTAGCTGTGATCAGGCAGCTCTGAAAGAGGCCCACGGAGTTGTGCAGGACGTCAGAACGTGATGCTGTGCAGGCTGTAGAGGCTGCAAGGGGCTAGGGAACAGGCCAGGACACTACCAGCTGGTGCCCATTCTGCCATCTGGGACCAGGGCAGCCTAGCATTCCTGCAAATGGTAAGAGCCACGCTTCCTGACAGTTGGCAAGCATAGCAGGCCTGACAGGTAAAAGGATTTTCTTTTTTCTTTTTCAATTTTAAAAAGCAGTTTTACATTGTTGAAACTATACATAGATGGTCTCTTGAAATAATAATGCTCAGGGCCAGGGATTTAGCTCAGTGGTTTCGCCACCTGCTGCACAAGCGCAAGGACCTGAGTTTTATCCCCAGTACCAAAAAAAAAAAAAAAAAAAACAAAGAAAAGAAATAGTAATGCTCAGCCCTTTAAGGGAGGAAAACTAAATTTTCTTCAGAGGTTACTATTGCCAGAAATTGGGCGAGGATCATCACAGAAATTTTGTCATCTACTTCAAACAACCTGAAGAGTTTTAAAAAGAAAACAAAAACCAAGATTTTCTAGGGAATTGAATTTGCCCAATGCCACACAGATGAGAAGTGACAGTTCAGGAGCTGAGTTCTAGTATTATTCCACGCTCAGTGAGTCCTCTTTCCACAACTTACACCACAGGTTGCCTTCTGATTATAATCATGTATGTTAAATATAGTGGCATATGTAACTAACCCAGCCCAAATAGAAACTTTCATTCATTTTCAAAATTTGATTGATACCTATAAAGGTATTACATTCTTTATGTTTTATTTTCTCTTTCATGACATCCAAAAACACTGGCACTATAACGTTTGTTTATTCAGAGTTCATCATTACTTGCAGCACATCCCATACCTTGGGGATGAGAAGAATAAATATGATGTCACAGACTAAAGATTAGGACTTGAGGTGAAATATAAACAGCAGAATTAAGGGGCAGAACTTTCATTTCATTTTCCTAAGAACAGCATTAGTAATATAAAATAACAGCACTAGGAGGTGGGAATATAAAATCACTTCTAAATTCAATGTATTTCAAAGCTTCATGAGAGACACTAATGGCTAACATGAAGTGAATGTTAATATTCTACTACTACTATGCTCTGGTTTATTCTAAAGTCTTCATATTTTGTATAGAAATCAGAAGCAATAGGAAATTTAACAAATATTAAAATCAAAGTGATATGGCTATGGCTCTTTTATATACTATTTCTCAAACTATAAACTGACTCATAACTATTAGCCTATTAAAACCCCAAATTAATCATCTAAAATACAGTATAATTAGTATCCAGAACTGGTACTGGAGATTGCTTTACCTCCTCTCCTTGACGATGTTTCGGATGCAGAGGTCACGGTGATAGTGGATAAACTGTTGACAAGTCATTTTTATTTCCTCAGAAACAGGAGAATCTCTGTTGTCTGCTGTTTCTTTATTGTTCCACAGGAATTCAAGTCTGAAATACAAAATAAAAGAGGCTACCTCTAAGAGAGGAAAAACACACTGAGAGAGAATCCTTCCTGCCTTACCCCATCAAAATGGCTATTCCAAAGCTCATCACCAAAACTGTAGCTATACACCCAGACACCATCAGTCTCTAGCAGAAACATACTGATACTGCATCTGGCTTCTTACTCAAAGCAGGCTGGGATGAGGGCTTGATGATTTATAAACCCCTCCAGGAAAGTTGAGCCCATTTCAGTTTCCTCTTTTGAAACACAAAGATAACTTGGCTATCAAGTATCTTATTTTATCATCTTTCAATTTCAGAACGACAGAAACAAATACTGGGGTCTGGACCTGGAGCAACAGTTTTGTTTCTGCCCATCCAGACAATAGGACTGTTGACTCTTTGGCCTTGACATTATTAAGCTGACAGCTAAGTGTAATGACTTTCCTATTATGCTTTCCCTTTATGAAATGGTTCTGACCCTAGCAATGACACCTTAGTAAGATGATGATGGTGGTAATGATGACGGTGATGAAGGAGAACTAAGGAAGAAGAACAGATACTGTTTACTGGACACTTCATGTAGCAGGTGGGATGAATTCCATTAGCACTTTTAGTTTCTACTGATTTTGACATGGGAAGCAAATGAGGAATTACAAAGATTTGCAGCCTCAACTTCTTTCTCCCACTGCTAAGTTCAACTATTCCCACTTGTTATTTTTTTATAGAGAAATCTTTGATCTTAATTAAGAGAAATTCTTCACTAAGCCAATAAAGACTCAAAATTTAGAAAGAAAATTTGAGTCTCCTCTAAGTTGTCAGTTTAATAGAAAGAGGAATCCTGTTGTCAAAAGAGAAAGACAATCAAATATAGACCTTTGGGGGCACACCACCTACTACTTCCATTTCTAAAGACATTTTCAAGTTTCATTTAACTTTATGTACTTAATGGCATAGAAATCAGCGTCCATCAGTTCTTGTTAAAATGCAAATTACATTGCTGGATTTATAATAGTTCTAACATTTTCTCTGCAAGCATTTACAAAAAATATGTGAATCAACAGAAAACCTTTGTTGAGGTGTTTTGTGGTCTCTTAGTTACTAAAGGTATAAAATATCAGTATTTTAATAGAATGGCTTTGTTGTCACCTTTAGGAAGATAAATTTATTTCAAAACTAAATTTACCTTCTTTTGAAAGGTAGGATGATTAAATGTTTGTCCAATCCAAAGATTCCAAAGGAAATAAATCCCTAGAGAAGAAAACAAAGTTGTTTTTTTCTCAGTGCAACAATAAAATTTTAAGTTAGAGTGGGCCAGGAATTTAGCTCAATGGCGTTGCACCTGCCTGGCAAGCACAAGGTTCTAAGTTTGATACCTGGTACTGGAAGAAACAAAAACAAAAGGAGCCTATTAAAAAATTTTTTTTTAAGTCAGAGAAATAAGGCAGCCACTGAATTTAGTGCTTGAGGAAGCAAACCTGTAGTGATTCCAGTGACATTTTAAATGGAACCCACAAAGCAGGCTCCCTAAAATTGAATACCTGGAGGCAGATTTAATACTTTGTCACCTCTTTTCCAATCATTTTGTTCTACAAATTATGATGGGTGATACAAACCATTAGCATCATAGGGTACTGAAAAATGAAGGCATTTAAGGGCTGTCTTTGTTTCTCTCTTTTGAAAAGATTTCCCACTTTATTTATCTGTTGAAACTTCATAAATGATGTAAACAGTATCTAATTACAATACAGTAACTGGACAGAATTTCAGTAAAGGGTTACTGGCTAGTGGCTAGGGGAGGGGTTTGAAGGATCTGGGATGATAAGGCACAGATCAGGGCAACTTAGGACTACTTGGGAGAGGGGAGGTGGAAGCTGCCATTTGTCAGGCATACTGAGGTGCAGGTCTGTGGGATGTGGGCTGGGGAATGCAATATAGTGTTTCGTGAAGGGCCTGATTTTCTTCACCTCAAAACTATAAAGAGACAGAGGAAATATGTTACTAATAACCTCCCCAAGAGGAAAATGGGATGGGAGTAGGTTTGTGTCTCTCTCACTCCTTTGAACCACTTGGGACATAAGCTGTGTGGGCAGCATTTTAAGTGCAACATTCCTGGCATTAGCTCCATTCATGACAAAACCCAGCCAGAGAAGCTTTTTCAGTCCCAGTCCTGGGACAGCCTGGCTTGGAGTGGGCTTTCTGAATGTAAAACATTAAGGGAGACTGTGATTTTAAACCTAGTATTTTGTAGTTCTTGGATACAAAGACAGATCTTAAATAGTATTATAAAGTGAAATGGGTAGTAAGTAGCTCTTGGGATGCTCATGTCTGTAATAAACTGATTGAGGTCACTTGGGTCTTTAGCCCCATTTCTCCTACCACAATAATGGCAAAACAAATTGGAAAGTAATGTTAGGAAAGAAACTTACAGGAACATTTATTGAGAACCCATAAGAAACTCTAACAGCAAATTATTTCAGATTTAATAGGCAAACAGTGATTTCAAACAGTATTTTTTTCAACTTGATATCCAACCTATAAACATTCTCTATTTAAAAAGCAAAGGATTGGGCTGAGGCTCAGTAGTAGAACACTTGCCTAGTATGTGCAGGATCTTGGCAACGCAAAAAATTATAAATCAAAACATCAAAAATAAAAAGTAAAGGGTTGGTGAAAAGATCAAATAGTGAAAATTGCACATAAAATATTTCCAAATATGTAAACTCATTTATCATTAAATATTCATTGTAATGGTGACATGAACATACACAACAGCATCTATTACACTACTCTGTGGAATTTTATTTTTCTATTTTATTTATGGTTTTTTTTGGTACTGGGGATCAAACTCAGGACTTTGCTCTTGTGAGGCAGGCACTGTGCCACTGAGCTAAATCCCTGGCCCTCTAATTTTTTAACTGAAGATGAAAATATCTACTTTGTAGGTATTTTATGGCATTTAAATGAGATAATACAAAAATGCTTAACAATATTTGGCACATGGTAGGCTCCAAGGAATAGTAACTATTATCCCTGAACAAAATTTATTTATACACTGCATGATTTCTTAAGAAAGATTTAAATGTTCAGGAAGCAACAAAATGCAAATGGAAGGATGTTCATCATCTTAAGTGGTTAAAATAAGGGTTCAGGTAAGGTAAGTTATGTTCAAAGTGAGTTGTTATAATCACAAAAAGTTTTAAAAGAACTTAGGACATTTTGTCCCTGCTTAAATTATCATTCTTTATCTCAAAACCAAAGCAAAGAGCTGTTTTGTATTTCTGGTTGAAACACTCAGTATACATTCTGATGACTTTAACCAATATAATAATTCATCTCTACTAGAAGACAGGCAGCAGCTGTCAGCTGTCACGTATACCAGCAGCTGGCAAACCAACTAAACCCTGTTGATTTAAAAGAAGACAACAACATCCGTACACACACATCCTCCACTGCCCAATCAACTCATCCAAGCAAACAAAAACCCCTCAAAGTTCTTAGTAAATAAATACCTGACCAAAGTTAAACACTGCACAGAAAAACTGTAACTCAACATAGAGTCTTCCAGGTTCTTGGTTGAATAGCCACCATAAACAACTGGAAAGATTCTGTAAAGGAAGGAGAAAAGAGTACTGTAAAATGAACCACACTAATCATTTCTCTCCATCCAGAGTACAGTACAATAACTTGTCTACTTAATAATTAGGGGGAAAAGACTAAAGGGAAAAATAGTGAGAGAATACAGTCTTTGTCTTTCAAACAAGAGGTTTCAACCTCTCTTCCTGACAGGTGCCATTCAAACAGCATCTATTCTGATCAGATTTGAAGCAAGAAGACATGAGCCATAATACAGAAACTTACATAATACACTAGGACTGCCGACTAGCCTAAGACAGGACTGGTTTTAAAATTACCTCCACACAATGAACACAATTATATCACTAAGCAGCAATTCTTGGCAGCATTTCTTATTTTTTGATTTTTGTTCTTAAACAGCAGCAGTTGAGTGTTGCTGGCTGATATTGTACTACATAAAGAGAATCCCATTGTGAAAAGGTTTATGGGTTATATGTTCCATCTCTTGCTCTACGCAAGTTACACTTGAACCATCTTTAAAAAATTATATGATAACTGACAGTTTACAAAAAAATGGTTATATAATAACTATATAACTATATAATATGGTTGGGGATTTAGTTCAGTGGTTCTGCTGGCTGCCTCGCAAGCGCAAGGACCCGAGTTCGATCCCTGGTACCAAAAGAAAAACAAAACCCACAAAAAAACTATATAATATATAACTATAATAACTATAAAATAGTATATAACATATGATATATACTAATAATCCTTTATTAATTAAAAAATGCATACATTTAAAAAGTGTTGTATTACTAAATTATCAAATTAAAATTTTTATAGTTTCAATCCAGGTGAGTGTACTTTATAAATTTATATTCCCCCTTTGGAAAATAATTTAGTAAAGTGCATCTAAAGTCACAGAAATATTTATACTTTTTGATTGAGGTTTATCAAAATTTTTTTTTTGTACTGGGGATAGAACTCAGGACCTTGCGCTTGTGAGGCAGGCGCCAGAACCACTGAGCTAAATCCCCGGCCCGAGGTTTATCAAATTTGAGAATCCATCACTAGGAAATATAATGTATGGAGGTATTCATTAGAACATTTTGAAAATCTGGAAATAATTCATAAGGAACTGGTCAAGAAAATTATAATGTCCCCTATGGTTTACTCAGGAGCTGTTTGAAGTATGAACACTGTGTAGCACCATGAAAATGCTTGAAAAAGCAGAAAAAAAGAAAGAAAGAAAAGAAACAGACAAAAAAAAAAGATATAAATCTGAATGCTCAGAACAACAAAAAAATGTATTAAAAAATTAGAAGGCAGGGACTGAGGGTGTAGCTCAGTGGTAAAGCATGTGCTTAGCAAGCACAATTCACTGGGTTTGATCTTCAGTAAAAATAAAGCAGTACTATAGTATGATGCATATTTTTCCTCTTTTCTCTGTTATATTTAGTTATGATATTTTCATAACTAAAATTATTTTAAAAGTTTTATTATCTGAGGAATATCTTCTGAGAGATAATTTAGACATTTATCCACTTTATAGTCAGTCAAGTAATCAGGAATAGTGGCCCTGCACACCGTCTAGTTTTTGCAAATTCTAGGTTCAGAGCATAGGATGAATAAGTGATTCTTTTTGGGGGGGGTACTGGGGATCAAACTCACTATCTTGCGCTTGTGAGGCAGGTACAGTGCCACTGAACTAAATCCCCAGCCCATTCTAATCAGAACAGGCTCTGGCAGCACTTAGGCAACTGAGTAAAATGTAATTCCCTACCCAAAACATTTAGCCCAAGACTAGAATTCAGGTGCTTTTGCTGCCATACCCCTAGAAAGTAAAACTAAGTTTCTTCCAGATGCCTGAATAAGACCTTTGCCAAACATTTAAAGAAATGACCTCCAAACAAAATTAGAAGAAAATTTACAGCAAACAGGCCAATGATGAGAAGTAAACACAGCAAGACATGTCGAGTCATTTGTGGGTCTCCAGTCTGCAGATACTGTTCCTCTTCCTGGACTAATATGCAGCTCTGGGAGTTACAGCGACTCACACAGTGATCATCTATAAAGCAGTAAGCACAACAATTTGTAATCAGAGCTTTTTATTTGAATGCATTTTAAATTTATAATGACTTCCTAAGAGAAACAACAAAAAAGCACATTCAGCTAAGAATCAGTATATAATTTTGACAAAATTGGAGGAGAGCTCCTTCATGTTGTTTTAAGAATTTCAGTTGTAGAGTGTTTTTAATCTGAAAAAGACACAAGTAGGTTGTAATAATTCCCTTTTACACCACTCAACAATGTTTTCTATCTATATAATTTATTCTATATAATTACATATTAATATACATTATAAATTATAATTATGTATATGATTTTTAAAGGCTAAATTAATAACTGAAGTTTCACCTGTGATAAATCTCCCTATTAGTCATAAATACTCTATTTTGGCTAACTGTAAAACAAATTTATTATTAACTTTTGTCTTTTCTGAAAGAGGTTAAAATTTGCCTTTTAAAAGGCTAGTAAGTTATCAAGTAAATATTATACACTACATTTTGTTCACATATGAAACTAAACCCAAATTACAGACATGACTCTTCTGGCCTAAAATAGACATGAGGAATCTTTTATAAAATTTTTTTTTAAATTCCTACTTCAGGTCCACTCTGTCTGTGGCAGCAAAAGGAAAGGAAAACATTTTTTACACAATTAATGACTAGTCTAATGTACAGTATTATGGTTAATGTTTAAATCAGTCATTAAAAACCACAATTTTATAGCTCTTTCCCACAGGTTAAAAATAAAAATCTGTATTTTTAAAAAGCTGCTTTTTAAAAAAGGACATATACAACCATGAAGCATGGTCTAGCACAGTGGTGGCAGCCTATAGCACATGTGTTGCAGCAGGCTGTTCGTATCATTGAAAGCTCTAAAAGGTTCACCATCACTACTCTAGCATAATAGTTAATTTCAGGGGAAAGTTCACAATGTCACTAAGTGAAAATAAGCTACCAAACTATCTCTGTAGTACAATCTCATTTTAATAAAAATTATTTGGGAATATAGTATATCTGCTATAGTTTGGATACTAAATGTTCCCCAAAACCCCTTGTGTTTAAGGCTTGGTCCCTAGCCCAAGGCACTATTGGAAGGAGGTAAAATCTTAGGAGATGGGACCTGTTACAAAGATGTTAGGTTACAGGGGTGTGCCCTTCAAGGGGACGTTAGGACCCTCTCCTCTTCTGTCTCTCTTTGGTCACTGGTTGCCATAAGGTCAGCAGTTCCTTCACCATATGTTCCTTCCATGATGTTCTGTGTTACCATAGGCCAGAAGATCATGGAGTGAACCTCTGAAACCATGAGCTAAAATAAGCTGATAATTTCAGGTACTTGTGATAGCAAGGGAAAGCTGGGTACTACAATGTCTACATGTAGAAAAATTCTAGAAGTATACATAATAAACCTAGTTTAAAATATGTACAGACATTACAAAAATGGATGCAAATCAGTTTTACTATTTTTCTTTTGCCTTTTTCACATACTGTTGCCATTCAGCAATCTGAATTGAATGCAATATTTATTTTGGCTTTGTGCTATGGTACAAAGTGGGGGATGAATTATATTGTTAAGCTCTAAACAATTTCATTTGTCCATGGTTTGATTTCCTTTAGACTTTTAAAAAATTATCCAGACTTAGTAATGATACTAAATTATATGTATAGATGAAGTCTATATCTGATGGCTCTCATTCTATATAATTTTTGAAAAAAGTCAGGAAATTAAAAAAACTCTGTAATTTAAAAGTTCTCAAGAATCAACATTAGTAATAAAGTAAATGACAGATAAGCAAATTCTAAGGCAATTTTGAGAGGCCAGAAAAAAAGGTTGCTAAATCAGATTATATATCGAAGTTGTTAATCACTTTACTTCCATGCCTGCTGTGTAAGGAGAAAAAAATAAAGAAAAGCCTTGGGAATTCTGATATAAAGAAACAGCTTTATAAAAGAAATATGTAACTAAAAACTGAAAGTTTAACTGAATTCCAGAAGGGGTTTCCTACCAGAAAAAATTAATGAAGCCTCTGAATCTGATATATTTTTTACTTCTTTCTATGGAAACATGAATATTATTAAGATTCATTCCTAACCAGCAGATATCTGCCAAACAAATGCCACCTAGACAACAACTTCTGCTGCCAGTATTATATTTGATGAGCATTTACTATGGGGACCATACACAGTGCTAATTAATTTTCATTCACCACAGCATTTTCATATAAAAACATAAGCCTTTAGCAATAATAGAGTTGACAGATGCCTCATTATAAAGAGCACTTTTAGGGGTTGGGTTTCCCTTTTTATTTTTATTATAAATAAGAGCAATCAACTAAAAGTACACTGCAGTTCTATATAAGAATGTTCAGTTTTAAATAATTTTTTTTTTTTGGTACTGGGGATCAAACTTGGGACCTTGCGCTTAGTTTTAAATAATTTTAAATTCAAATCAAACATGATTCAATCTTTTAGTTTACATGCCAAATGTTTATTGTTAAAGCTTTTAAAAAATAATTTTATAAAAAAGGGCATATTTAAGATGAGCAAGATGGGGCAACCCTGTACTCCCAGCACTCAGAAGGCTGGGGCAAGAGAGTGAAAAGTCTGAGGTAAGACCCTGTCTCAAAAAACCCTAAAAAAACAAAAAACCAAAGAAAGAAAGAAAGAAAAAAGGTGGGGGGATATTTAAAGCATAATGATTCAGAGTAATAAGCAGTAATTAACTAATTCTGGTATCCTAGGGGTTAGAGATGGTGGGGGAGCTTCAGTTTCTACAATAAGAAAAAGAAAAAAAAAAAAAAGCTGGGCGTGGTAGCACACACCTGTAATCCCAGCACTCTGAGGGGATGAGGCAGGAGGATTGCATGTTCAAGCCCAAGCCCAACCTGGGTAACTTTGCAACCCTGTCTCAAAAAAATAAAATCAATTAAAAAATAAAAAGATCTAGAGATATAGCTCCCAGCCCTGGGTTCAAACCCCAGGACTGCAGTGTATGCATACATACACAGAGGATGAAAAAAGTCCCACAAAGTAATAGCCCTTAGGATAAGCTTCTTAAATTTATCACTTCAGTTAAATTCATTGGAAAGTGTGTGTATGTATATAATACCACTTACTACTTTCTGGTAAGAACCTAATTTTTTAAAACAAGTATTCTCTGTGCATGATTATTATCCTATTAACATTTTCCCCCTTATTATTGGAGAATCTATATTCCCAGTGTTTGGTAATGTTAAAACATCTACAGAGATCCTACAACGAGTTCTTTTTTTTGGTACCAGGGATCGAACTCAGGACCTTGCACTTGCGAAGCAGGCGGCGGAACCACTGAGCTAAATCCCTGGCTCTACACAGAGCTCTTTTGAGGCATAAGGATAAGGAATCTTTTGTCCCTTCAACCTATTCTCATAGCCGGTGCACTTACTTTTCTCAAAGGAAGGAGTCACAGGCCTACTTGTGCTCGTGTTTGCTACAGGTTCTGCTGATGGGCACTGTAATTCACCATTTCCCATGGAGCAAGAGCAGCAACCTATATCAAGAAAATAACATGTGAGGGTAGAGCCCAACCAGAACAGAAATCAACAAATTCAAGAGATACCATACGAACCAAACTAAACAAGACCTTCTTGGGCATCCTCTGTGGAAACGTTTTCACATGTTATTTATCAGAAAGTAATGAAATGTGCTTAATATTTAAAGAGTGCCAGACAAATGACAGCTCCTTCCATATCATCTCATCGTATGAGACAAGGAAAAATATTCGTATCCATGTTGTTTTATTTCCACTGTGCTTTGGGAACTAAGAATTCAAATATTTTTCCTAAAACACAACTTTCATTTCATCCCTTTTATAAAACACACATTAATGCTCCATTGATTACTGTATAAAATTCAAACTCATTGGGCTAACTTTGAAAGCTCCATAGGCAGCCACTCCTACTATTCAACAAAAAGTCTTCCCTTCTCTCAAGACAATTCTTTAGAGTCTTCCACAAGCCTCATTTAGGCCTAGGCTGATCAAATCCTCTTTTTCTCTAAGGTCAGCTCAAAATTCACTTCCTTCAAGAACCTGTGTCTTGAAAGATTCAGTAAAAACAATTACAACTTTTTTCTTTTCAAATAGATAACACTAAAAAAATCTCTTGCTAATTTATAGGCAGATTGGTTTACAGAAACTGCACTGAGACATCTGCATAGACCTGATGTTCCTTAACATGGATTATAACAGAATAATAACTTCAGCAATAAACTATTGAAATTTAATATGCTAGAAAAATGAGTAATTCTTAGGATTAACCTTTCATTGATATGTGCTTAAATTCTTTAGTGATGTTCTTAAAAACAAAAAAAAATCTCAAAGTATAAAAACTGCAATCTATGCTAAGCTATTATGAATGCCATTCCAAATTGAAGATAATGATGCCATTTCAAGGTTAAAATAGAACCACAGAATAATAGAAAAGAAAATAAACATTATCTGGCCCAACCCTCTTCAGAAACTTGAAGGTTTAAAGCAGCTAAGATAGAATTATTAAGAAATATATGTGTACATAGCCAGTCATCCCAATGACATACCTATAGGGAATGAACACATACATGTACACATACAAGCATGGGCACACACAAACATGTAATTATGGCCACAATTTAAAAGTGCTATAACAGTTTCTTCCTTAAAATGTAAAGACATATAAGTAGCCATCTGCCTTCTCTTAATTGAACCTCTGATCTTGTATTAAAATAGGTTATTTTTCCTTTCAATCATAATTCTGCCCTTAGGACATGTACAAATCATAGGTCTCTGACAAATGTATAGCAAGGGGCAGAGGTAAGTGAATTATTTTGAATTACCAAGATTGGGGAAGGCCAGGCTGGACATGGAAGGTGCTATGTGTTAATACTACTACCAAAGCAGAAGAGAGCAGGATTTAGGGAAGGAGAACAATAAGACAAGTTTAAAAGTATTTTCCTCAGGAACACTGGTGAGCATGCAAATAAATAAGTACTTTGTCCCAGCAGTTCGCATGTGGTTTCAGAGAATCGTGGCATAACTAACTCATCTACCCACTCATCTACCTATCCATTTAACAAATATTACTAAATATTTACATAAAGCCTGAAAGCATGCTAGGTGTCAAGGCTATAATAGGCAGGTCAGATATGACACTGTAGTTGGGTTATAGAACAACTTAAAAAGTAATTATAGCCAGGGATTTAGCTCAGTGGTTCCACCGCATGCCTCACAAACACAAGGACCCAAGTTCGATCCCCGGTACCAAAAAATATATATATAAAATAGTGAGATAAGGGGAGAGAAGTATAAATATTGCAGAAGTTGTCTTAGGGAGATAAGGGATACCTATCTTCTAGCTCTTACAGGTTTATTTACATTATATTACATTATTTACATTACAGGTTCAAGTTCATTTTCCGGCTAGAGATGATAATGATGGGATTTAAAGAACATGTATGGTACAGTTTATTTGGCATTTTCAGACAGTGAAGAGGTAGCCACAAGTCTCTGGGCTTTTGACCCTTAGGGTAGTACTTCCTGCAGATGATGTCAGGCTTTTGGTAGACAGTTCTGAAACACTCATGGAAGAAGACAGAGAGCCAGCTGGAGCCATCTTTTCAAGCTCCATCTCCCCAAAAACTGGTAGGCTGGTTTACAGGATAAATTCAGGAGTCTGTACACAGTGAGGAACGAAAGGGTGTTAAGCATGATCAGAGAGGTGCTCAAGGCTTAGGGAAAGCAGCTTTTAAATGTAGTGGAGATGTAACCCTTGAGCTTCAGTTTTAAAAAGGAAAAACAGCAGGAAGCTCAAAAGAATGAAATTCTGATGATATCATCCCCAATTTCCTAATAAGGAAATTAATGAGCTTGGGCTTCAAGGCCATGAAATAAAAGCATTAAGAGAAGTGTGACACCAGTTTAGGGCAAAGTGTTGAGAGTTAAGTAGCACAGAGAAGTGGGAGGAGCTGGCTCTGAGCAGGGTCCTGCCAGGCTGGAAGGAGCTGAGCACTAGGGGCAGGGCTCTCTCCATACAAGGCAGACTGCAACAAGAGCCTGATGGGCGGAGCTCCGTGGGAACATCATTTGGTGATTTCACATAAAACAAACTGGACCAGGGAGTGATGGGAGATGGGCAGCCCACTTAGGAAAGAATTACAAAAATCCAGTGGAGAGACTGGAGGCCACAGCAGGTAACAGAGGTCAGGGGCAAATGCAGGACCTCAGAAAGACTTGCTCCGAATGTCTAATTTGCCTCAGAGGGGAACAGAGGTTGTGCCTGGAAGTCTCGAAAAAAAAGAATTGTTAAAATTCAAGTATGCTTGTAAAAGGGAATAAATAAGTGCTAGCTACATAGTCAGAAAGAGATGTAAACTATATGCAGAAAGCAGGAAATCTGGGACTGGACCAATATAGAGGTCAGATTAGAGATACAACTTTGGGAAACATGTACTGAAGTCATGAGAATATATTTGTTGCCTATGACCTGGAATTACCATCCTAGGAACAATCTTGATGAGTACTCAAGGAGAGGTGAGATAATGATGCATCTAATATTGGCAAACACTTTCCATGAAGGGTATAAAATTACAGACATGAAATTTAAATTTCATATAATTTTCAAAAGTCACAAAATATTTATCCTTTAATTTTTCTTCCACCTTTTACAAATGTAAAAACCATTCTTTTTTTTTTCTGTACTGAGGATCAAACTCAGGACCTTGTGCTTACAAGGCAGGCGCAGCACCACTGAGCTAAATTCTCAACCTATAAAAACCATTCTTAACTGGTAGAGCCTACGAAAACAAGTGGAAGGCCTGATTTGGTCTGTGGACTATAGTCTGTAAATGCGTGACTTCTACTATTGGCCTGCTTCAATTAGGCCTCCTTGAGTTTATTTATTAACAGTGCTTGCCTGATACACTGTTATTAAGTTAACAAATGTACAATGTGCTTTATATGTGCTTCCTTTCCTAGGAAAGATCTTTTCTTTCCACCATTACTTCTAGGTCCCTAGAAGTTCTAGAATTTAACAAATGATTAATCCTTACAAATAGAAAAATGTAATTAATGTAATAAATAAATTTTCAAGTTCTTCCTATTATTAAAGAACTATGATTCAAGTTCTTCATTTGACAAATACCTATGATATTCAGAATAGTCCAAAGAACTTCCCTTAAACAAAACACTAGGTACATACTAGAAAGGTACGTAGGTTTTGTTTTTTATATTTAAGGATCATACTTGTTTCTGGGATAGAAGTTGTAAAAAGTTCTGGTTCATTTGTTGGTGCTGGACTCTCCTCAAAAGCAGTGTTTCCAGGCTCCATTGCTTTGTGACTCTGAGACTGGCCAAAGCCTTCATAGTGGCCCGCATGGCTGGTACGGTTCATGCACATGAGTGCTATGCCAGCTATGAGAATGCTGCAGAACAGGGTGACTGCCGTGGTGATCATCTGCACATGTGAGAAAAAGACACCAGCACACTTTTCACAATCCCATCTGATTAGCACAAGTTAATGTTGATGGAAAATACATCTGTGCAGCTTTATGTACTCTAGAATAGAGCTTCTTAAAAATGGTAAGCGTATGTAAGGAATATAAATTGTAGAGAAACTAAGGTCTTCTTCATATGCATTTTCTAGATGCTTCATTTTACAGCAATTGGTTAACAATACAGCCATTGATTTATTTTACAAGTAATTGCAATAACTTCTTATAGGTTTTATCTTTCCTTCTAAATTTTCACTTGTCTTTCCTTGTTTTTCTATCTTCCTTAATACAAAGTCTCACTAAGTTACCCAGGCTGGCCCCAAACTTGCAGCACTTCCAACTCAGCCTCCCAGTGGTTGAGATGATAGGAATGGGCCACCAAATCCAGCTCTTGACGTTTTTAAGAATCAGTTAAGTTTCAAACATTTAGAATTTTTCAGCTAAAAGTAGACTTAGACATGTAAGATGTTCACCCTATTCTGAAGTGTGACAAAGTTACAGAGGATCACTGGTGTGATATGCAATATTCTACATTAATTTTAATGTAAGTACAGCAAGGTACATTAACAAACTAAAAAGACACGGTCTTGGGAACAGAACTGCCAATAGATTCCTCCCACCTGCTCTTTTCCATAAAAGAAGGCTGAGTCAATGCTGTCTTCATTGTGTTTTCCAGTTATCAAAAGAACACCAACAAGGAGAGCAGGAATTCTATAATAAAAGATTATTGAGAGAGAGAAAAAATGAATAGTAACTGCATATATGGAAACACATAAGGAAAAAGAAAAGTGCCAACTTACCCCCAGCCAGATATTATGATGATTCCAACAGGAATTTGTACACTCTCTCGCTTTTTCAAAAGGAACAAAGAAATTGCTAGAAGGCCTACGAACAAGAAACAAAGATGGAAAGAAAAGTAATAACTCTTGATGTTGATCAGACGCCATAGGACTTTATTTCCATTTTTTTAAAACCAAGCTTATTTCAGTACTAGAATAGTCCAACTTTTGCCCAAGAATTTACTCCTTTCTAAGTAAATGATGTTTCCAATATTTTGTAGCAAATTTTCTTAATTCAAAATCACTTGTGTTTTCCCTCCTATATTGTTTCTTTACCTAAATCTTATTTTATCCAGGATTTTTTTCAAAAGTCCCAATCATTTTATTCTTTTCCCTATGTGACTGGAATCTAAGTACAATTGAAAATAAATTTTTAACTGCATACAGAACAATGCTAAGAACAACCATACTCTGTTGGTGGTGGTTAAGAAGTTATTATAAGCATTTTTTTTCCATACAAATGGCCTCTCTTTTTTTTTTTTTGGTACCAGGGATTGAACTCAGGACCTTGCGTTTGCGAGGCAGGAGCTGGAACCACTGAGCTAAATCCCTGGCCCCTGGCCCCTCTTTTTTTGAGACAAGGTCTTACTTAATTTCTTGGCTGGACTTGAACTTCCTGCCTCAGCCTCCTTGGGTGCTAGCATTACAAGCATAATAAGCAATTTTTACACAGGTTATATCTTTTAAAAATTCTTAAAGTGTAGTGATGGAGCTTGATATAAACATGGTATGAACTTAATACAAACACAAATGTTTTCAAGTTCTTGAACATCATATCCAATCATTTATACAAGTAACATCTGTTTTAATAAAATTCTACAGAACTGTAGCATTGGAAAGGATTTCTGTTTCAAATCAACACCTTCATCCTATAGACATGAAAACAAGGGTTCACCCAAGTCCTATACCCAGCAGAGGGTAGACCCAACCTTGTGACATAAGGTAGGTTCTTCAACTCTCTTTCTCAAATTCAGATCTGTGCACCTCTATGGTTTCTTAGGCATATTCTTCGGGATCTGATAATATATAAAAATTTTAAAGTTGTTTTTGTTTTGTTTTTCAGTGATAATCCTTGTGTACCCACCATATAATCAAGCACAGTCTCATGATTTCAGAGCTTACGTTTGGCTTTATATTATGTTTGAGCCAAGTGAAAGCCAAATGGTATCAACAATACACAATCCAAACAAAGGTTCTGTGGTAGTTTGAAGAAAGAAAAGTAGTGAGGTAACCAGTTTATAACTCTATACCATATATGGAGGTACAGGCTAGCCAAACTTGAAAAGCAAGGGAAGTAATTCCATTTTACATGTTAAGCTATGATTTAAATTAGGTAAAAAAAGATCTTTTGTGATACTAATTAATGCTACTAATTAGAATTACTGGTTTTATAGTTTTGTTTGAAACTAATCTATGAATCTGCTTTCCTTTTATAGTTGGATATAAAGAATTCATATCTAGATGAGACTGTACAGATTAAATAACACCATCCTAAAATTAACATAAATCAGCACTTTGGCCCTTGAGAACTGTTTTTCTTTACACTGCTCCTCCCCTAATACATTTGTATACTCTCTAGTTTCAGGTTTTCAAGTGCCAGGGAAATAAATAACCTATTACAAAAGTATGCCCACTGAATTACAGCAGCAAGGGCACTGTACAATTGTTATAAAAGTACTGTGTGCTGATTATGCCACTGGTATGCCTACTCTTTAAAACTGTCATATTTATCAATCCTGCTCTGTGAAAAAACCTTATACAGTCAGGCAGGATCTAGCCCTGCATGCCTTCCTGATGAAGTTGTGGCACATACTGCGGTTTAACTTTTCAGGCCTGTTTTCCTAATGTGAAAAATGAAGGATTTAAACAAGACCAGCCCAAAGCTGAATTTTTAAAAACTAGTTATGCATTTGATATGCATTTGAAAATTTTAATTAGCACATGAAACTTGGGATCTCATTGATAAAAGGCCCAACTGATTAAAGTTTTTTAAAAATGTGTCAATTTTAAAGGAAAAAACCAAGTGGTAAGTTGGTAGGGCAAAAATTGTGAGAATGATATGCAAATGAATAAAATAAACAATGACTGAACAGGAGATTTAAAAATATAGTAAAATTCTGTTGTACCATAATAATCTGAAGGTTAAAGGGCACCATCATCAGGGTTAGGGAACTCAGAACAATTTCTCTGGATAGATTTTGGCAATGCATGCTTGAAATGGGTTTCTGAGAAAGAGTTTGAGCCTACCGATATACATATCTGCTGTTGTTTTATTCTTATCAATTTTACCTGAATAAACTCAGGTTTTAGAGATTAGACATTAGAATGGCACATCTATATTAGGAAATAAAGTCTCTAGGCTCTTTTAACTTGACATCTGATAAAAATTCTCATGCTATGCAAGGTGTACTTGCTTTTAAGGAGCACAAACCATCTTCTGTTTGCACTGAATTTCTCATTCTGTAATTCCTCACTACACTGTTGCCTCACTTCAAAAGGCTGTTGACTTACATGGAACTTCCTTTTGATCCTGAAAGCATGAAATCAAAGGTCTTTCACAGCGACTTTCTAACACTTGCCTCTTTTTCTTTCCTTTAAATTCTTTTATTGGTATATTTTAGGTATACAATACATTTACATTTATCATTGGGAACTTGTACCTGTACATGATGTATCTTGGTTCCTATTTTTTCCCCATTACCTGTGCGCCCTTCACCCCCTCCACCCTTCCCTATTTACATAGACTTCATTTGCATTTTTTTCTTTTCTCATAGTTTTTCTTTTCCCAGGAAAGAAGGGACACTTGCCTCTTAACCATTGTACAGTTTCCTTTTATGTACCAAATTTTAGTATGAATACAAAAGTCAGAATTTTTCAAACATACCAGAATGTCTCCATCCAAATAAATGTGCTTTTATTTTTGAATGTTCTTTGGATCCAGGTGAAATAAGAAATAGTCTTTCTCACTAGGTCCTCTTGTATGTCCATACTCTTTTATGCACTTACTTTTCTTGCTCTCATGTTACCTCTTTTCCCGCTACTTAATAACTAATATAGTTCATTTGTTGAATGTCTACCGTGTACCAGACATAAATACCCATACTTCATTTCACACTCAAAATGACTCAATGAGGTGCTGCAACCCATTTTTATAGGTAAGGAAACTGAGGGCATAAGGCAGAGTCACAATTTTTTAGTTTTGTAGGCCTCCAGTATGACCCCTGGGATGGACCCCTGCCCATTCTCTCCTTTCTCTACTTCCCTCTAGCACTTGCCCTCTTGTGTCTTCAAAAGGGAGAGGTGCTGACACTGGCTTGGAGTCAGACCCTGAGGAAAAGTGCCATGTGACTACAGAGGGCTCTGGGTTTAGGCAGAAATAGAGTGTGTCAGAAAGAGAACTCAGCTTTGCAGACTGCTTGTGTTGGTGGGTATGAAAGCCTAATCCTGTACTACCAGACTTCACATAGTTGACTAGAAGCTGGAGTGGGGGAGAGGGGAACAGACCTTAATGTCCTTTCGTGATGCAACTTACCTGTCCACAAGTAGGTGCTATACAAGGAGCTGTACAATAGAACAAACACCAAAATCTGTCCAACAAAATTTTTTTCTTTAACAAAATTCCATATCATCATTCCAGCACAGACAATAGACTAAAGAAAAAATTATTAAAAGACTTTGTAAATAGCTAGGAAAATCATATGATTCAATACCATCACAGAAAATAACTATTAAGCTAGTCACATTCATATACGTTTCATTCACAGCAAATACAATTATTCATTTTAAATTAACACTGATTAGTTATGGTTTAGTATTATATAAAACTTCAAGATTTATGATAAAAGCTCATTTTTATGCAAAACCTATAACATATTCACCTGAAAAAGATGATAATCACATTCTAAATACCAACCTCATTTTAGTAATGGTTTACATAGAAAACACTGAAGTTCTTTTTATTATAGTTTGAGATAAGCACAGATTTAACTAGAAAAGACAGACTGTGAGAGTCCAATTTTTCATGATTGCATTATTTCTATTTAAAAAGGAAGATGTTATTACCAACTGCCATTATTAGTCTCAACTTAAAGTTCAAAACCTATTGCAATATTTAATATATTAGGCATAAACTAATTATAATCAAATTACAATTGATTGTATTTGTTAATACTTTTGAGTTTATATTTGGGAACACCTAGAGAAATAAGTTTCCTATACAGAAGAAAAGTTCCTGAGAAAAGCATAGTTTTAAATAGCTATGGGTATACTAACCTGGGCAATAAGCAAATTAGTTGTAAGCATATGAGGAAGCTGTCTATATTTCTTACTTAAGAGAAGAATAGCCAGAGACCAGATCTGAAAGACAAAAATTTCCAAAGTTATTCATGTCTCTTAATCTTTATAATTACTTTAAATAGCACAGTGGTGTTGTGTGTGGTGATGAAGATCAAACACAGGGCCTCACTCGTGCTAGGCAAGTGCTTTACTACTGAGCTACACCCCCAGCACCATGATTAGTATCTTTAAAGAATCTCTTTATCTTGGTTCATAAAAAATTCTAATATTTTATTTACTAGTTCCAAAAATGGTTATTAAGGTAAGTTATTATATCCAAAGTAAAATAAAAAAACAGAGTGATCCCATAGTAAATTAGCTGTTCAAAAATTCCAGTCTTTAAGTACTAATGCCTCGCCCAGGGCCATATTATAACTACACCTACCTTTAGTGGCTGAGGTGGGACACGGACAGGTTCACAGCTAATTATTCAGGAAAGGGATTTTAGTAGGAGATGCAGTTATAATATACTATTCTACGTTTTTATCTTTCGATTTTCATTCTACTAGCTCATGAGGTATCTCAATTTGAGATTGTCCAATACTTTAAAACTCATACACTTACCTTAAGATTAATCTTGCATTCCTCATATTTGATTTTCTTTTTTCCTTCAGCACTAGGAACTGAATCCAGGACCTCATGGATGCTAAGCACATGCTCTACCACTGAGCAGTATCCCCAGCCCCAGGACTGGGTTTCTATTTTATCTACATAGTAGCCAGCTGATTTTCTTCTTTCTCATCTGTTATGGCTTGTGTCTAGAGGCCCCCCAAAGCCTCCTGGAGTCATAGGTCGGGCTTTTTCAGAGGTACCTGGATCTAGTGTGTGATGCTAGAATTGAGCATGGTGCAATGCTAGGATCAAGGGCACTAGGATTAAGGGTGTGAGTGCTACTCACCCTAAGTAGCCTGGATAAGATAGATAGAAAGAGCTGTGGTTGCCCCTTGTTGCTTTGCTACCTTCTGCCCACCATGAACTGTTTCTCCTCTGTGATGCCTCTCTGCCAAGCCACCCGGCCTTGGAGCCAGCCAATTATAGACTGAAACCTCTATAAATTGTGAGGTAAATAAACCTTTCCTCCTTTAACTTTGGGTGTCAGGTATTTTGTCTCAGCAACAAGAAAAGTATCTAAGACATCCCTTTATTGCCACAGAAGTCATATTGTCTCTTTCCCCTAACTTCCCTCTTATCAATGAGCACAGATTTTAAGAATATGTGGCAGATGTGAGATTCCATCCCTTTTCCTTCAATAGTGAACACTGTCTTTTAAAAATCTGGAACAATGCTTGAATTCAATAGGCAACTTAATCTACAAGATATGCAAGTTGTCAAATGCTTAATTATTTAAATTGAGCCAGATAAATCCAATTTGAGAAGTAGCTTTAAGTTTCATTAACATTAAATGGGTGATTGAACTTGATCTCAAAGAGCTCTTCTGAACCTATGATTCTACAACAGCTAGTATTTGTATAGTGATTCATCATTAAAGGATGCTTTTCACATTTATTATCTCATTTAATCCTTAAAATAATTGTATGGGAATAGGTAAAATTATTATCTTTATTTTCCAACTGAGAAAATTGAAGTTTAGAGAAGTTAACTCCACAGACACGCAATTAAACTATCATAGGGCCAGGAGTCAAACCTTGTTCTGACAAAATCTCATTCATGCCTTTCTATTTAACAAATCAAACTCCCAATTGGAGAGACAAAACTCAGTCAACTGGAATGTTGATATTATATTTTATAGACAGGCTTTGGTTTTCTCTATTTCATAAGAAAGTAGATTTTTCAATCCTTTACTATTAACAAGCTATTCTCAAACTCATTCTGTGGTTTCCACTCAACACTGAAACATACTTACCAAGGAGACCAGGCTAATAATACTTATATCAAAACTAACATTCTGGATGGCATATGCCAATGGCTTAGGGTCCATACCGGGAAAGGTCAGTAACCAGGCAGAAACATACATGATTGGAGCAGACACAAATGTGCTTATTACCATCCCCGAAGTTACCTGCAAAAATGAAGTCAAATTGAGATGTCACAATGTCACTTAAACAATTACCTTAGATAGTAAATACCCGCAACACACTAAAACATTCTAAAATAAAAACAAGTCAGTAAAAACACCATGGAATCCAGGCCTGTAGTCTAAACCTTACTCCTCCTCCTGAGAGTCCTTACAAGAAACCACAGGTAAGTTGCCCTGTCTCCTTCTGCAATCTGTGCTCAAGCAATATTTACATATAACTAATATTAAAAATTCCACTGTTGATTATGTTCTAGGTTCTAGAAAGTACACCCTTTGGTTGACCTAATTAAAAATATGAACAGTTTCCTTCCGTACTATTCATAAAATTTAGGGAAAGAAATCACAAAAAGAAAAATTACCAAACATTTTACAGATTAAATAATAGAACTGACCTTCATTAAATAATTTAATTTCTTCATACTATATTCAGAAATTCTTTAATAATATAGATAGTATGAACTTACAAACTGTTAATAATTTGGTGGTAATTGATTTTTGCTATTTGCTGCTATTGATTATGTGGTATTTTACATCTGGTGGTTGAATTATCAATGAAAGCTTTTTCCTCAAAATTTCAAAAGTTACAGTCCTGTAAATAACTTTCAGACTTAAATACAGGTACAAAATCAAAATACTTGGGCTGGGGATTTAGCTCAGTGGCACCACACCTGCCTGGTAAGTGCAAGGTCTTGAGTTTGATTCCTGGTACCAAAAAACAAAACAAAACAAAACAAAAATCAAAATACTTAAAACTTAAAAAAAAAAAACCATGATGAATAAAGATAAGATTAAATAACTGTTGTTACATAATGGTACATAATACCTCTTTATTTACAACAAGGTTGCTTAGAGTCTCAAATTCTCATAGAAAGAATGTTACTTTCTGTGTTTAAAATTTTCACTTTTCTATTAACCACAGAACAGTCAAACTTAGAAAGTAGTGTATACGCACAATCTCTACTTCCATGTTGAACTGTGTGGCAAAGATAGCCACTCCTGGTGCTACAGGAAAGACACCATACAAAAATGCATAGTTTGATAAGCTTGTATGGTTCACTACACTGTCATCCTTGTCCAAGAGTTCCACCATTTCTCTGCACAGAAGTGGCAGCACCAGGCTGAAGAAAGAAAAAATGCATAATTTACTTGACATCAAAACATGCTTGTCACATTCTCCCTTAATATGTGGAATTTTGAAAGATGACATGAAAGAAGGGAGACTATTATTAGATAAGAGGAAGGGAATAAAGGAGAGGGAAAGAAGGGTGTAAAGGAGGTTAATGGGGGATGGATAGAATCAAAATATATGCATTGAAACCCAACTTTTTGTAAAATTAATAATAAAAGGAAAAAAGATATAATGTATATGAAAGAGCATAAGCATTATAAGTCAGTATTATAATGGTAAAGTCCTTTTCTCCTGTATTATTATATAACCAACTATTTAAAGTAAACAAGAAAAAAAATCCTTGTCCCTAAACAGTAGCTTGCTCTAGTGAGCTCAGCATTAGGTTATTTTTCTGTTCTTGCTCAGAAGCTGTATGTATTTGTAGGCATTGTGGACATTTTGGTGAAATAACCAAGAGTTTAGCTTGGAGCATTTAAAGTGTAACAATATTCTGGAAATAGCTCAAATATCAGAGAGTATCAGGGGGAAATAGGTTTGTTTTGTTTGACAAATATTTTTCTTGCAAAAAACAGCCAAAGATGGTGGTGCGTGCCTGCATTTCCAGCACTCCTTCCAGGCTGAAGCAGGAAGATTGCGAGTTCAACTCTGAGAGACCCTGCCTCAAAATTAAAAAGCAGGGCTAAATTGATAATTTGAAATAGGAAGAAAAGGTCCAAAGGGGTAGGGGAAGTGGGAGGGGAAGGGGAAAGGAAAGAAGGGAAAGGAAAAATTATGAGAAAAGGACAAAATGGAAACAAAGTC